GCTGCCCGGTGAGTGGAGCGGCAGAAGGAAGCGGCGCGGAGGGCGGGGGCGAGCCCTGGCCTTCTCCCCGCAGTGACAGGGACCTGACTTCCAGGCCCCAGACTCTCTCCGAGGCCAGAGTCAGCGAGAGAAAGGACCGAAGGCGGGAGGGAAGAGAGACGCGGCCGCAGTCGGCACCCCGGGGTCTCCGAGCGGCCCGGCCCGGTTGTGCCCAGAAGTGAGTGGTGGTGGGTGGGCAGAGGTGCAGCCGCGGGGGCAGGAGAACTCCCCGAGGAGATGCGGCCGGCCTGTGCTCCTGCCTCTCCGCAGGGCTGGCCCCCGTGGGCTGGAGCTTTTCGGAGCCCGGGAAGACTGCTGTTCCGTCCTCTTCCCCGACCTCCTCTTCCTAGAGGAGACCTCTGTCTTAGGAAACGACTTCTTTTTTTCCACTTGAAGACAATTTTCTCTTCGACTCCGACTCGTGGGGCAAAAGGTAGAATGTTAGGGTTGCAAGCAACATCTGCCCTGTACCCTGCAGTATACATCTTCCTCAAACACAAAGATCTGACTTGGGAAAGTAGGTGAACTAATTGCAGACAGACCGAGCCCGGTTGGTTTGGTGGTGCCCTCCTGTAATCCCAGCACTCTGGGAGGCTCAGACGGTGGATCAGAAGTCTGAGCCCAACCGGGGCATCGCAGTGGCTTGGCAAGACCTTGATCCGACATAAAAAGCCGAGTGTGAGGTCTGTGGTTCGGTCCCCAGTGCCACACGCACCTGCACACACATGATGTGGGTCCCTGGAACCGGGGCGGTACCCGTGCACACTGGCCTGAGGAATGTGTGCTAACAGCCGCCTCAGGGCCTGTCACGGGGCCCTCAGGAGGCGCCCTTCCTGCCCAGCCTGTGAGGGAAGTTGTTCGGTGAACAGGATTGGGCATAAAGTATGAATTTCGGACCACGGCTTGGTTGAAAAGGGGGCTACGGGTCAAGGTGTGAAGGCCAGGCCCTGCGAGACTGTGCTGCCATGGCGGCCAGCCCGGAGCCCACGAAGCAGCAAGGCTTCGCCGTCCATTTAAGTCAAGAACTAGAACCGGGCTGTTTGGGCAGATTCCACCTTCTCCAGGGGATTACGGAGGCTTTACCCATGTTCAAATTACTTCCTAACTGAACAAGAAAAACATTTAAAATGCATACCTGATTTTAAATATATACACGTGCTTCATATAAGCTAAAGACAACCATGGCCAAAACCAGTATCCTTTACAAAGGGAGAACTGTTGTCCCCACCAGGTCTGCACAATTTAGGGACATGTAGTTATGGGAAACTGGTCCGAGGCGGCTCCTTCAGATACACGGGTGTGTGAAATCGCCCAGTAACTGGGGTGACGACCCTGTAAGAGTCTGCACACCATGAACATTGTTATAAACAGTTGAATTCTGGTCAGAAATTCAAATCACCAGAATGAGAACATACAAGAAAGTCATTTTCAGTGAGAATAAAAACATAGAATGTGAAAATTCCTGCCTCTTATGGGGTACTTTTTCATGCTGGCATTTTGGTGGGGGAGGGGGAACCAGGGATAGAACTGGGGACCTTGTGCTTGCTGAGGTCCCTGGCCTTCGCACTGGTTTTTTTTCTTTTGATACTGGGGATTGAACTCAGGTTCTTGCACTTGCAAGGCAGGCGGCGGAACCACTGAGCTAATTTCCCCACTACAATGGCATTTTTGATTAGAATGAATTAAGAGTTGGCAAAAGCCAATTCCTCACTTGGTATTCACGAGTGACAGCCAGCCACCCGAGGGTCAGCAGCACACATCTGCCTACGGTTTTGGAAGTGCACATTCAACTACCCAGAGAGAGCATAGCAAATACTGTGACAAAACAAATTTTATTTTGTAAAATAGCATGTGGTATGAACTCCATTGCAAGGGAACATATTTTTGCTTGCATAGTCCAGAAGGAAAGAAACGGTGAATGGTACACATCACCGGAGATCAGAAGCCTCTGCTAAACCACTCTGTGATCTAGGTGCTGTTGCAGAGGAACAAGATTGTATTTATCTGCGATGGAAATCATGTGGTTCAGAGATGTAAAAAGCTAGTTAAAACCTAGTGAATTGATCTGATGAAAATCATTCACACCACACTATGTACACAAGCATGTTTACAAAAATATTTTAATAAGCATATTCAGAGTGGCAGAAGGGAATGGGAGAAGGAAAATATTTTACAGTGCAAAATTACTATGCATAAATTTAAAAACATCTAATTCATAATTTTAAATGCCTATTTAAATATTACTTCAAATACATTTTAAAGCTCAACAGATTGTGTTGAACTGAGTTGCAAATGATGAAACCTATGTGAAAACACATCAGAAAACACAAGCCCATTTCAGATGAAAACGCAAGTGGCTCCACTAGGCGGGACAGGCAGGGACCAAGTGACTACCGAGAAAGGCTGCCGCTCCCAAAGCTGTGTGCCAAGAGCTCAAGAGTTATGAAACGTACGAAATCTTAAGCAAATTAAATTCATGATATTACCAATATTTTTAAATAGTGCAATGACTTATCAAGTTAGAGTGGCTGCATTATGAAGAACAAAGTGTAAAATAACTGTATAAACACAAAGTACAATGAAATATTTATGGAAAGCTGAGCATTACATATTATAATAATGGAATGTCTCTCATTATGCATACTTTAAAAAGAGAGTAAGCAAAGTAAAATTTCCTAACATTTACACATGTGCCATTATTTGCTAACATGCCTGAGAATTTCCTTAAAACATTCCTGTATCAATGGTTTGCAGGAACTTCACAACCAGCAAAGAAAATTCATTCTTTAAAAAAGGTGAAATGGTTTTCTCATGCTACAACAATTTAAAAAGTACAGCATCACAATTCTTTTAAAACACTTCTGTAGACCATTTCTGTCAAAAGAGCTCGGATGCTTTGGATTCATTTAATAAAACCTAATTTAGAAAATGGATTGTGACCATCTGCTAAAGCTACCGCTGTTCTTGATAAATCAGTGTTTTTAAGTAAAACAAATTCATGCTTTTCAACACCTCACCCCAAACTGATTCCTTGGATATCTGGGGAACAGTGCACACATGTCACAGGAGTCCAGTGGCTGCTAACACTACCTGGGGACAAGGCTGCCCACTGAGATGGGAAGCAGTTGGAACAGGCGTTAAACCCTGGTGGGACCAGGCCTGAACTGCACTCCTCAGTGCAAATCTTTCCTCAGCCACTGTAGACACTGAGCCATTTATACACAGGCTAGCTTTAAAAGAACTGATCTTTTTCTTCCCTTGGTATCGGGAATTGAACTTGGGATTTTGTGCTTCACAAGCAGGTAGGTGCACAGCCTTGGCTCTTGAACTGATGGCTAAATGGGAGTTGGTAGAAGCATCCGGGGGTACGTTTGTGTGATGAAACAAACAACCATCTTTCACAACAGTTTGGATATAGGCTGGGCTACATACAACTTTTTAAAGAAGTTTGCACTAAAAATAAAATGGCACTTTTACAAGTCTACGCAGATGAATAATGCTATTTGTAATCATACACAGCAGTGGTTTTCTGTTTATCTTATTTTCATTTTGGAAAAACATCAACCTGAACAACTGTAATTGGCAAAGTTTGCAAACTTCAAACTCTGCCACTTTCTTCTCTCAGAATTGACAAGCTGCCTGCCGAGAGCGACTCCCTGCGCGCGCCAGGATCTAAGCCTCACTTGATCTTTGCCTCTGTGGTCTGATGAAGTTGGATGATACATACAAAAATAACCCGACAGGGTTCTAGTCAGCATGACACTCTGAGCACTCATGCTGACATTAAACCTTTGTTTTGCTTCAAAAATAATTTTGAAAATAATAAAAATGCAAAATAAACAGTACAATCTAAGGATCATGCTTAATTTCAGAATTTTCAAACTATGTGTTCTTAGGTAGAAATTTGAAAAAAATTTTCATAATCCTTTATGAATTTTTTTTTTACCACCTAGATAAGAAATGTGACTTAGTTAACTACACAAACACTTAAAAATTCATTAGAAAAACCTTAGCAAAATAAAATGAAAGCCAACGGACTCAGAATATCAATCCTTTCATAAAAGTTTACCAACTGTACAAGTTAAGAAAATTATACAAGCTTTTTGTATTAAGAAAGGACAGCTCAGTCAAGACATATGTACTTGTAAAAATCTTTCAAAGGCTACAAAGAATCTGGAAAAATACAGAATGTATTTCTTTAGCCCAGATAAGAATATGGAAAGACATCATTGATGTCAACAATTTTACATATACAAACCTGACTTGGTTTATTTTAAAATTTCTATATATAAAAAAATCATGCTAGCATAACTTTCAGGATTTATAAGGGTTTCCTTAATAAAGACATTCAATTTAGATGGAGCAAAAAATGCCTATTACACAGACAATTCAAGAAACTCAGAAAACTAGTGTAAACAGAAATCTGAACTTTTTTTTTCATTCCTCTGTATGAAAGGAAAAAAATTACCCTGTAGTGAAATTTTATGACAAAACATCAGGATGAGAAGATAGAGATTTACGTTTAGTTTGTTCAAATTTACTGAACTTTTTTTTTTATATCCGTAAAAGGATCATTGCCAGTTTTGAAGTAAAAGAACTTGTAAAAGGCAGAATTATGAAATCTTATTTCTTAAAGTTACCACATATTTTCATGTTTAAACCAACAGCTTCAAGGAAATCAACTTAAGGTAACCCATCAACCCTGAAAATTTTAGTGACACCAGAATTACTCAAAGAAAGTAAAATAGGTCTAAGTTTTAGTCATCTGTGTTTTCAAGTTCTTCAAATTTTCCGTGAGACATTGCTTCTTGGAAGAATTCAGAAGAACCCGGACTTTCCTTTCCATTGCTGTTTACCCTTCGCTTTTTGGCAGGTCTCTCACTTTTTTCATCAAAATCATTTTCGTTTCTTGCAGTCATATGAGCAAGTTTTGGGTCAGTGGTAAGGTTATCTGCGTCATAGCCATTGGTGTCCATCTCTGTGTGCAGTGGTCTCTTATGTCCACCTGTTGGCCCATTAACATGGAACCCTTCACTTTTTCCTTCTTCTTTGTTCGCCATTTCTCCCGGTCCATTAGATGACATCCCTAAGTTAGAAGAAAAATAAACGACATTGCTAATATGAAGAAGTTACATTTGAAAACTATCATACAACAGCTATTGCGAATGACTTCAGAGGGTTTAACTCTGACTGCACTCCATGACTACAGTACTAGGTGTGCTCCTTGGCTTCGTCTCACACACACAGTGAGGATTCGAAGAGGTTTACCTGCCAGGGCCACCGAAGGTCAAGTAAGTTCTAGAAAGAGCGAAGAACAGATATGGCTACGTTAAGAGCAGCTAGGTATTGTGTGACAACAAGCAGGCACTGGACACAGCAGTCCAAATAAGCTGAACCAAGAGGTAAGAGACTGCTTCACCTTCCAAAACCATGTAAAAACAAAACCGGCAGAGGCTCTATTATGACAGCTTGTTTCCTACTGCCACACAAAATCAAGATGATGCCATGACTTCATTCGTAATGCAAATCTATGGATCTGTGCTTCAAAAGACCACAGTTATTTAAGTGGACTCCACAATCTGTCTCAATGGCAAAACAGTAACACGAGAGTGTCCCAAACACACACTGCATGTGTGAGCAGGAAATCCACATTCACTAGGGAGAGTAAATCCCTAATTATTCTAGCAAAAGTAAGTAACAATAGAAACATCATGTAAAGGCGACTGCAAAATGGAATACAGTTTTTGGGGACAGGAAGAAAGATACAGGATGCACACCCCCAGAGAAAATGAAGTTTTAATTACCTGAAAATATTCAGCTTTTAAAGGATGAGCCTCTATGCATTTTAGTCAAATGCACTCAAGTCACGTGTGCAGGTGGGGTTAATCTTGATCTCACTCACCTGATGTGAATGGTTTCTGAGCTACTGAGTCATTTATAATTTATAGTTAACTTATGAACTCTCTCCAAAGCCTGCCTGTTCTCTTCAAATCACTAAAAAAGGGAAAATACTGTATTTGGTATTAAAATGTTAGGAATGGACAGGAAGACAGCATTACAATTACAACGCAGAAGTCAGCGCTCCACACCTTCCTAGCTGATGCCATCAACAGCACTCACTCCAGGACGTGGCTGGACCCTCAGTGGTGGCCACCTCCTATCCCAGTGTCACATGGGATTGGAGCCAGAACAAGGGCCACGGTCCCGAGATCCCCCCGCGAGTGTCGGGGGGCGTACTGCAGCAGTGGTGGTGACACAGCTCTCCGCTGGCCCTTCCCAGGCCTTCTAACTTAGGACAAGCATTTTCATCAGGTGCAAGTCAAAATGCCTCTTACTAGTTCTTGCTTATCAGCTCAGTGACCTCTGTTTCCCTGTGTATTTTGAACAAGAAAACTATCTGAACCTTCAGCACACTGGTGTGGCTTTTGCTTTTCTTTTTCACAGAAATAAATATGTTCCTGTTTCTGTAGCAGGCTGATGCCTGCTTTATCCTTTCTCATTCAAGGTTATGTTTCTATCAAAGACAACACCAGTATTCACAGCAGTGCCAGGGAGGTGCATTTCTTTTTTACTATACACGTAACACATTCCTAGCTGCCCCGAACCACTGGTGGTACATTCGTAACTGTCCCCTGCCGCCCCATGGCAGTCGCACACGTACCACCGAGCCGCCCAGGGGTGAGACTTACACAAATTCCAGCCCCACTGTGAAATGTATCAAAGCACTGAGGTGTTAAAAACTCTCACGGCCCATCCCAACCAGATAAGAAAAGCAGTGCCACTGAGACAGTTTCCTTAAAAGAAACGACTGCTACTGAGAGACCGCGAGCTTTTCCGAGTGCGCCTGCCTCCCAGCTGTCCCCACTCGCTCACCGTTCTGGGTGCCCGCGGTGCTCTCCTCCTTCTCAGACTGGCTGTTGCTGCTGTTGGAGGCAGTTGGGGGTGGGGACGGGGCACGGCTGGAAGCAGCGCTCTCACTCTCGTCCAGAAGACGATCCATGTAATCCCTGCAGTCAACAGTAATAACATTATCTTATTAGACTAAGAAAAGCTAAACATGAAGACGAGTTGAGGTTACATTTGCAAATCTTCCCTAACGAATACTGTCCACCCTTCGGTTCACTTCCATTCACGCCAGTGCCTCCTTTACTGGGCCCGGGCTTACACATTTAAGGCCGGTTCTTTTCAGTTACATGCTTGTGGGAAATGTAAAGTCTTTAAACTGGCAAATTGGAAAGACCCACTGGAAGCTTCAAACTTTTCCATTTGTGCTCAGAGAAGCCCAACTAAAACTGAAGGATGTGTAAGTAAAGAGGGAGCAGTATCAGCAGGAGTACAAAATCATTTCAGAACAGAGGCATGCTGGATTTTAAGGCAATACCTGAAAGACAAACAGTGTCTGGTAAGAGGACCGTCCCCCAGACTGTCCCAAACACCTGTGTCACTTGTCTCCAGTGGGCTTCTCTGCTGGGTTTCTCCCGCCAGCGTCTCATCACAGCACACTCATGTCTTCCTATCTAGCGGTTGTGATGATCAGGTTGTGTCAGGGTTTAGAAGAACTGAACTATGCCCTTGTCTCTGCAGGGTCAGTGCCTTTACCTATGAAATGCAGATCAAGGATTCTAGCCAGGGATTTAGCTCAGTGGTTCAGTGGCCTGCCTTGCAAATGCAAGGACCTGAGTTTGATCCCCAGTACCACCAAAACAAACAAACAAACAAACCAAAAAACAAACAAACAAACAAAACCCCCACACACCATTGTAGTATTAGATGTGTGTATGAAATGTTTTCAACTATAAAATGCTCCTGAATCTTAGAAAAAGGTCCACAAGCTGTGGCCTGTGTGGTGTTTTGTGATGATGTGTATGGCCGTTTTGTGCAATGACAACGGAACTGGGTAGCTGTGACAGAGACCTTAAGGCCAGAAGAACACAAAATATTTCCTCATCACCTCCACACACACAGTTGCCAATACCTGTATAGAAGGTCATCCTCATGAGTCTGTTTTATGTCCCACAGTACCACTGGGGCTGAAGTTGTACACGGGACAGAACAGAAGCCCAACACCTACACATGTTGTTTACTTTTAAAATTCTTTTAGAATAGTACAATAGAAAATGAATATGAATTCTTAGCATCTTGAAAGCAGGATAAGAGAACATAATAAGGAAAAAGTGGAAGCTCTCAGGATTTTCTGAAACATCTGCACCAACAGTGTACAACATATGAGGACTGGTAGTGGTAACTTTTCATCTACGTGACCACTGCTGTCCTTTGCGTTATAAGGATGTAACACGGGAACGTGACATCAAACCTCAAGAAGCTTCCAACGGTCTGAGGTCTACAACTAACACTCGGCACAGAAACACAGATGATGACTGAGTTGATCTAACAATGGGAGCATTACTTTCGCCCTCTATAAAGAGTGGGAGTTAAACTCAACAGCTTTCAAGAGCACTTCAGTGCTGCGCTGTTCATCATACTCAGAACCAATGCACAGAGCACAAACAGCAGTGGGAGTGATGAGCCCTGAAGGAACATCACAAGTTAAGGCAGAGGGGTGCAGTCAGCAGTGGCTGAAAACCGCTCAGTGGGCAAGAGTCACCGAGGTTGTTCCAAGCCCAGCGAAAGAGCCAGAGCTGACCGGATATCTAAATGGTTTTAAATTTTGGAGTACTGTAGTAATACTATCAAAGAACACTTATCATTATTTTCTACAGATAAATGAAGTCCAGAATGCTAAGGAAAGGAGAAAGATGAGCCACACAGACAGACCATCTATAAAGTTGGAGTACATTCAGTTAACTGGGCTGTGCTGAATTAAGTTACATATAAGAATGATTTGGAAGACTGAATATTTTATAGTGAAATCTTAAATTTGCATATGGCTCTCAGTTCTTCCAGGTACCAGGTAGGCAAAGTCTGTAACAGGATCTTGCAAAGATTTGTAAGACATGCCCCAACCCCACCACAAACGGTGGCCAAAAAAGTGCACTTCATTAGGGTGAACAACTGAAAGACAACAATTTCACTTAAAATACAACTACAGCCGAAAATGGAAACATGTCAGACAGGCCTCTCTGTGTTACAGGAAACCACAATTTCTTGCTATATGAAAAATAATGCCGTCTGTTCGCTGCTTTTTATAGCAGATGTAACACAGAAAAGCGATGATCTCAGTTAGACAAAATAGGTTTTCTGAAAGACCCATAGGGGACTCAACCGAAGCCTACAAAATCAAGGCCAAGGGAAAAACCAAGTCTGTTCATTTCACACCAGTGTACAAAGGGGGACCGCAGTTAACTCCACATCTGAGAAGAGGAGGCATGGTTACTCTGAATTGTGGTTACCGGGTCTTCGGGATGCTTAACCTTACAAGGAACCAGGCTTGCAGGCCAGGAGTTACTCTGAAGAGATTACTGAGGAAAGGAGGGTGTCAGGGCGCACCCCAGCTAACTGCTGAGCTCAACATCACAGAGGTCCAGCTAAGCCAGCCCACAGCACTTCCCTTTGCGATGCCTTCTGAAAGAGAAACTTGGGTGAGCCTGGGTCTGCCCCAGCAAGACAATCTTATGTTCCTACTGATGAGGAAGAGAAACTGTGTACTTCATTCACGAACATTACTTCTGAAATGGGTGAAAAGAATGAAAGCTGTTACTCCTTTTCCATACAGAATAGTCTGAAAACCGTGACTATTTTAAGATACACTGTGCAGACTAGATAGCTGTATCTAATTCTGTACCATTATGCGTTAATGTTACCAATGAATAATCCACAAAAGATTTTGTAACTTTACTAACACTGGGCAATTATATAAAACGTGCATGCTGTTCTGTCTGCAGTGCTACTCTAGTGATCACCAACTCTGAGTAAGAGGGATGAGGCCTTGCCAAGGGTCAGTTATACTGATCTACCCCTCCTTTGACTCTTTTGCTTTGGGTTTTAGAACATCTGAATTTTTCAAGGAAGTAAGTAGCAAAGACATCTTTTGCTCAATGACGGTGACTGAGTAGCAGTACAGCCAGGAGCCCGAGAAGCACAGCCACACGGAGGTAACCTGCACAGCCTTAAAGCCATGATGTGGGCAGCCTGAGGACATCTGTACTGGAGACACAGCTTTGCATCACTTTCATTCTGTAAACCTCAGGGAATATGTGAAGATAGTGCTGTAAAATTACTTCCAGGATAACATTTCATCAAAATGTTCAAGTAATTCATGTGAGACAAAGATTCAATGCTCATTATATTTAAGTAACAGATTACCAGGGTGAGAGAATGTCCTATTCCAAAGCAAGAATGAAGGAGGATAGGAGAAACTGAGGCATGGGGATGGCATGAGGCATATAAGACATCTGCACAGAGTGGATACAACACCTATCTGTCGCCAGGAAAAAGCTGGAGTTGCATTACTAATTGAATAGTATTTTGTCAGCAGAAAAAGACTCAGGATTGCTAAGAAATGGAAGCCACAATACACACATTCTTCCCTCTATGAAAATCTCACAAGAAGATGCAATTGGACCCGATTTATTGTATTTGTTTTTTTCCTTTTTATAACAACTATATTCAAATCTTATTTTGGTTCCTGGGATCAAAACAGACTGGACAAGAAAAAAATACCAATTTCCCATCAACAGTGCAGGGCCTATTGGCCATCTGCCTTACAGCTTTAGAAGAATCCTCTTCTTCCCTATTCTGACTGCTTTCAAGTCATTAATACACTAGATATGCCAGCTGTTCTGATCCATTTCTTCCAGGGGCCCCTATTGAAAACACATTCTAAACTTTGCTTTAATGATGTTTATTGTCTCAAATAATATGATCTGTGGCCTACAATCTTACAACACTGAAAATTCTGAATGTTCTATAAAGAGACACAACTGATGATAAACTAATGTAAATTCTATTATAAAAGCAAGATTCTAAAGCCACAGTTCTCCTAAGAAAAGTCTAGAAAAGCTTTTTTAACAACAAAATATATAGCTCTAAGAGAAAAACATCAACTCACGTTACACCAGGATGAAGGTTGTATTTCTTTTTTCCAAATCGCGTTTGCTGAGCAAAGAAATCATAGCGTTCGGATTTTTTCCACATATAATAGAAGGCTACACATTCCCCAACTGATCTTGTTCGGACCTATAAAAAAGAAATTCTATTTTTACCAGTCATTTCTCTCTTATCGGAGGGATTTCAAGAAAAACACCTGAGTTTTAAAAAAAAATTAGCTCCTCCGTGACCAACATACACTTGTTTTATGTGTCAAACACAATGCTGCAGGAAGTTTTGGATGCTCTTTTCTCTAAACTAGTAGAGAAATAGTGCAGAGGCAATGGGTCCTCAGACATCTAACTCTCTGTTTTACTAATAATTTACTGTACAATAAATCCCCCTCTACTGAAAGTGTGCACAAATGGCCCGTAGGCTAGGACGAACATTATAAACAGTTTGCATATTCTCGAAGAGCACCTAGGACTCCGCCTTTAAATTCTCAGAAGATTCTCTTAGTCCCAGCAGCACTCAGACTTGCATAATTTACTTTCCTAGTGCCTGCAAATGCACCACAGGAATGTGAACGCAATCTCAATGACACTCAGGCTTTGCCTCCTGTTACTCCTGTGGCTTGGTGTGCTGCCCTCTTCTGTGCAGATTAACGGATCCCCTTACAGCGTGCAACAGCCACGCGGCTTACAAATGATGTTAGTAAGACCCCCCCTTCCGTTTTGTCACTGAGTTCGGAAAGCTGAAAAACTGATGTGCATGAATAAAATACTAGGAGTTTAAAGGAAAAGAAAAACCTCTCAATCAATTTTTTGGACGCAAGATAATACTACTGCAACAAATTGTGGATGGAAGGCAGGAGAACTGTGGCAATACCCTTTCCTACCCAAAATACACACACACGCGCGCGCGCACCTCGTTTCTCTGCTACTTGCACTTCACAACTGTGACCCATTTTGCTTTGAGACTGAAAATAACTGGGGCTTTAAAAAAAATCCTCTCAAGCTTTTGACTTCCTACAGAATCTCATTTCTAGACAGATTTAAGACAAATCGATTGTACTGTACTGAAAGCAAAAAAAATGAAGATCTTTTGGCATATGCAAAGTTTGCAGTGCAGGAAATCTTCAATAAAACTTAACTCATATAGAATAAGTTAAAAACCCAAATTTTAATTGCAAGAGTAAAATCCCAATTCCTTGATGTTTTCACTGAAATATTTTGTTTCCCTCTTTGTTCACTACAGCAACTAGCGTGATTACATCTAGGTCAGACGCTGAATACCCTGTGACATTAGAAGACCACCCTCCAAATACATATTTATAAAGCAACCAAGGTCATATTTTTAGTAGACTTTTGGCTCACAGCTTGAGGCCATATAGCAAGTTCTTTTGGCTTAAAAAGAAGCAGGGCTGCTGCTTCTGCTGATCAGATCAGCCGGGTGCTCTCCACGGGGATCAGGCTTGGTTAGTCAGGGTCAGTGGTATGTGAATTCAAGCAAGAATGCTAATGCTAGAAAAATCTTATAAAAATTTCGACCATGAAATGTGGGATTTAAAAAACATCAGAAACAAAGTCATTAATATAAAATAGTCTTTTCCTAGTGTTGACTAGAACAGGTTATTAGATGACTTGGACACATTAGAGCTATATGTTTCGATAGCAATTATGTTGTTATCCTAAATGGTAAGACTCAAAATTTCTCATTCATTAGTCATGTCCAATGTCAATTACCAAAACACAAAAAGATAATTAAGAATGAATCAGTTAATGCACAAAAAATTAAGAAAAATGAACTCAGGATTTGTTAAACGACTCTTATTTAGTAAGCATGAACTAATGTTACATAGGAGCCAAGACAGACACCATTCACTCACAGCCAGTACAGAAAGAGCAGTGGCTGGGAAATGCAGCTCAGGGTAGAGCTTTAGCCTAGCTGCAGTAAGGCACTGGGTTCAATCAACAGCCACAGCCAGCCCCGCCCCCGCCCCCACCCCCACAGAGCGGGGCTTAAGGCTTCAGACCCGCGCCCCAACACTACAGACACAGTCCTGCATGGGCTACCACACATCTACCTGAAGCCATCTTTCAATAAAAATGCAATGTTCAAAAGCCTAAGAATAAATGTCCTGTATTTCAGCTGAGGCCTTCATTTCATTTGTCTTAATCTTGTACAAACCAACTCATTTCCCTATTAACTGGGTAACTGCTATTAAAAATCCTACCTGAATTCAGTTCTAAGAATTAAACCCCCAAACAAATCTGTAAGTAATTCTGAAGTTCTTTGGGGATAAGCACTGTACAGTTGAGCTTGTCAATCAGGGATGACTGATTATGTTAAATAAAATTCTAAATTTATGACAACCGCAGTAATTCATAACAAAGCCAACCTAGTGATGTGTCTGAAAAGTTAAAGAATGTGCTTTTAAGCCAGGCAATGGCGCATGCCTCTAATCCTAGGCAGCCTGTAGGAGCAGGCAAGAAGACTGCAAGCTTGAGCCTCAAGTAGGCCGTGTAGACTGTCTCAAAACAAAAAAGTTCACAAGGTCCTTGGAGAGCATGGGTGCACTTTTGGGTTCAATCTAAGTACTTCAAAAGCAAACAAACAAAAAACAACGTAACTTAGATTGTTTTAATTATAAAAATTTTCATGTGAAGTGCTTTAAAATTTCAAAACTATTTTAAAGGACCTTCCTTAAAATATCGGTCATAGAAAACAGCTTTAAGTATCGTATTATACACATGAACTCCAACCAAACATTGATTAACATCTTTGTGAATGTTATTTTGTTTGTGCCAGTGAGGAATGAACCCAGGGCTTTTGCAATGAATTACCTCCCCAGTCCTTTTTAAATGTCTGAGACAGAGTCTCACTAAGTCACAAAGTTGCCCAGGCTGGGCTAGAACTTACCATCTTCCTGCCTCAGCCTCCCAGAGTGCTGGGATTACAGGCCTGAACTACTAGGACTGGAGCTCAAATCTTGAAACACTCTAATATCACACAATGAGCCACACTGACCTAGCAAATTATGTCAGGAAGTCTAGGCATGCTATTAATAATTAGCTATGTCCCAAAGATTATATTCATTATAGAAACTTTAACAGAAAATAGAACAGATAAAAATGTCAGTTTGGGTTATTAAAATATTTTTTCATAAAAAGAACATATATCATTACTTACTTTATTAGCCTGAATCAAATGAAAATCTTTTCCATAGGCCTTCAGCCCTTGTTCAAAATTTCTACATTCTTCCTCTGTCCAAACAGACAATTCCTCTGGCAAAATGAGGGGGGAGAAACTGTTAAGCAATCAATATTCCCCCAATACTGCTCCTAACAAAACTACAAATGAAAATGTGATTTTCTGGTAAGAAATGAGGGAAACATTTTACTTTGAGCACTAGTACTCAACACTGCAAAAGATAAAGCAAGGAGAAATGCTCATTTCATAAAATTTTGACTGACTCGGTCCCTGCTCTGGCCTCATCCTGGGCCACTTTCTCCCTCATTCACGACTCCACTACATGAGCCCCCTGCAGTTGTGTCAGCTTTCTAATTTCTTTCCTTCTTCAGACGTAACATGTGGCGTCCCCTTTGCTTAAGACAGCTTCCTATCTCCCACCAGTAATTCTGTTAGATCCCAGCAAAAATATCATTTTGTTCTGGAAGCTTGCCCCGAAATTCCACCCTCTCACTTTCCTCCTTCAGCTGCAACAGCTCCTGCTCTCCCGGGGAAAGAGGATGCTTAATGTCTCTCAGCTCTGGCATCCTGCAGGCAGGGACTTGGTTTACAGTTAGGCCCTCAGAACTCAGAATTTAGGAGGCCTTCACAATGTTGAATTAATCAAAATCTCTCACTAAGGACCGGGGATTTAGATCAGGGGCACTCACTATGCCTGCCTTGAGAGTTCAATCCTTGGTACTGCAAAGAAAAAAAAACAAAAACAAAACCTTCACTTAATCATATACAAACTGAACTCTAAACAAGGTGAGGTGAGAGCCAGACAGAGTAAAAAAGGAAAAACCAGTATTTTAGTTCTGGTGTCATTATTTATGAATTATACCTGCCTTGGCCAACTTACCAAGTACACAGACCTAATTCTAACGATTTTAAAGTGAAGGCAACATTTGTCATACACAGATGACAGGGATATTACCGCGATCAAACAGGAAAACCATTAGAAATATACTCAGAAACTTTAAGGTATTATGCATTTTATATTTTCATTTAAAAGGCCTTCTTTTCCAATAAAGAAGGAAGAGGCAGCCTTAATCCCATTCCTCATTATGCCTTGTAGAATACTTTGTTCTGCAAATACTAATTCAGAAATTAAGCTTAGGATATACAGTATTTACACTAAACCTAAGAGCTTAATTTTTAAATTTCCGCCAAATCATGAAAACAAAAACTGAACATTTATGCTTACCTCTAGCTGCTTTTACATTAAATCGTAACCTCCTCAATGCTTCTTCTGTATCAAAATTGCACTTAACCAATTCATATAAAGCCTAGAAAAAATAAAAGGCTTCCATGTGTGATCCAGACTATGAACAGTCCAACTCAATGGTACAATTTAAGAGTAAGTTTTTTTCAGAATCTCGTGTTTGTTTTCATTCTTTTTTGAGCTGTGTGATATTTTTAGTGAATACATGAAAAATATTTAAAAATGTAGCATTTATTTATAAATGTGTATGACTGGTTTATTTGAGGGAAATGCTAAAGGATGAATCTTACACACCTGTTCATTGTCTTTTATATGAGACCCTTCAGGAATTGCTTCTACACCTTTCTCGTCACCTGTTCTTCTGGATGCATCCTTAAGAAACACGATCACTTTGTCTTCTGGTAAGTACTCAGGGTCCCACAGGAGCTGGTCATCATTTTCATACACTGAATGGGTGGAAATGAATGTTGGTGACAGCTGAAATGTGACAGGGTTCGGCGTCTGTGCTCATGCACCGCTGCCCAGGGACTGAGAGCCCAGAGCTGAGAGCTGAAGAGGGGCAGACAGGACCTGCGCCTCACCCGACTTCCTCTTTGGTAACTCGGAAAGCAGGCTCTTCCGAGAGGAGGGTGTGCTTTATGTCTGACTTCACTCTGAGTTACCAGATTCCAAGAGCTCTGGCACTTACTACCTACAGGGCTCCGGGTAAGTTCCTCCTGACCCCTCTGCTGCATCTGTGAAACGGTGCCAACCGTAACTCTCTCAAGGAAGTCGTAAGGAGTTAAGGCACTGTACTACGACTCTGGCACATATTAAGGTTCCCTAGATGTTAGCTAGGATTGTTTTTGAAAGGACGTCTAGAAGAATGCTCATTGTACCTTGTTTGTATGTCTCTACGATGCTTGAAAATGTAAATACACAAACTATTTTCACAAAAACAAAAGTTATAGTTAAGATTAAAGCCTAAATCTCACTAAAACTTAAAAAGTGAAAAGGAGAAGTGTATGACCTCCAACAAGAGCCCTGTAGGATTCTATATGACAGGAAGTCAAAGACAGATATATCAAGAAGGAAGAACTGTAAGACGGAGTCAATATCAAGAACCTGGTATTGCAGGAGCCAAAAGAGCGAGGGCCAAGCATGGCTTTGGTGACCTTCTAAGTACTCTGAGCACCCAGGATGAAAATTCTGGAGTTACTAACACGGCCGTGAACACAGGGAAAGAAGCCACACTGGCGAAGACTGAAGAATAAATGACAAGCAAAAAAATTAAGCAGAAAATGTTCTTGAACAGTTTGGGCATGAGGGTGGAGACAAGACAGTAGAAGTGGAGTTACAGAATGTTTTTATTTTTAAAGCTAGGAGAAAACATTAAAATGCCAGTAGGAAAGAGCTTGCTTGACAAAAGTTTTAAGAGATAAGGGATAACCCTGTCCAAGTTCATTTTATTATAAAATGAACTAACAGTTAATGAAGCACGTTCTGTGGGCCAGGCAATAAGTGTGTGCATACAAATCACCTAGCCCCTCCACACACACGCAGGCACGCTGAGCCTCCGTCCACCGCGGGGCTCCCCAGAAGATAGTCTTCTTTGAAGTATAGTTCAGAGGACCTTAACACGTCACTCCTTTTCTAGCCTGCTGGTACGATTCCAGTTAACTTTAAATTGTGAACACAAAAGCCACCCATAATAAAGTGAATGTGTATATATTGTTCCTGCTTTCTGTTCTCTGCTTGGTTCTGTAGACTGCAGGCTATTCTGGGGGTGGGTCAGGCTGTCCTGGGAAGAAGGCAGCAAAGGCAGCAAGTGCATGCGCTGCCTTCTTCCCCAGTGACATAACCCATCCAGGCCTGCGCACCCTCAGGACCCTGGTCTTCCTGGAACCACACAGACGGCCCTCGCCAGAGGGCGCCAAACGACAAGACCTGGGGACTGGCTGCCAGGCAGGTCAGCCTGGGTTCTCTCCAGAGCCTCAGTTCTACTCTTCATTGTCTGCAGCTGCAAGATGCTCAGTAAGGACCACAGATGAGAACAATTAGCACTGCCTTGGACAGTGAGGCACACCGCCTCCACTACTTTTCTTATTATGTTTACAGTCTAAACAAGCAACGGTTGTTTTTAACAGAATGTCTATTATAGAATGACCAAAGTATCAAAAGGATCAAAAAATTCAGAACTGCACTACTGTGACAAAACACACCACAACCAAAGGAGAACTAACACCTACATACACTGGGCTACAATGTTAAAAAACAAAAATCCCTACAGTAGCAATAGAAAATGTAATGCTCCCAATCACTAAAATGGAGTGGACTGGAGCGCTGCGATTTCATTCTAAATCAATTACCAAACATGCTACAACCTTTAACAGACAAGCCCAAGCACACGCACGGGATATCACGGGAAGACAGTCTGTGCGTGACTGCAGTGCACGACGAGCTGGGCAGACAGGCACGCGACACCACAGCAAGCAGCGCTGACAACCCTGACTCAGCAGGGCAGGTTGTTTCCTACTCATCTGCAGAGGAGCCTGACGGTGGTGGTGCGAGGCCACCTTCAACTAGCAAGGTGTGCACACCTCTCATTTCAGCTATTATCCAGAAAACAATGAGAAAAATCAACAACAAGCAGGTCATACATGCAGAAAGAAAATACCAATTGACAAAAGAAGCAGAGAGACTACCACCACACAAAAGCATAAACAAATCCCTACAATCAGGAAATTCCCAATGAATATTTACTTGCTGGCTGCCTGTTTTACTAAAGTACTGCTATTCCCTTTATAATGCCTAAGTAAAAACTCTACCTAATCAATACTTTTAATGCTATAAATGCTGAGCTACAATCAATACTATGATATAATAACGGGGTTTACAGCAGAAGTCACAGTCGTCATATTCTCAAAGGCTGCACTGTGATAAACATGGACTTTAAATCATGTAGCTTCTTCCTACACCTGGGTTTAAAAAATTCCTGTGAAGAGAGGAGTGGGGAATGGTGAAAAAATAAAAACCAAGACACGTCATGTAAAGGTGCAAGATCCCAATGATGAATGAAATTGTGTTTTCTACCTGAAATGTACCAATAAGCTAAAACAAAACAAAACAAAGCAAAAGCAAGGGTGGCCCCGCACCACCGCCATCCTATTGGCCAAGTTTGCTCATTTTTTCCCAGCCCATTTCTTTGATCCTCTCTCACATTTTCTTCTTTGCCTATCTCGGCATCAGTATAGAAAGTTCAATGAACTATAGTGACAACATAAAGATACAGCAATTTCTGTGGAGAACTTTTATAATACTCCTTCTTTAAAATGCCCGGGTGGTATACAGTAATGGAAGCCTTCCCGCTTGGATGCAGAAAAGCAATTCTTTAGCCGAGGCTATGAAAAGATTTCCAAAGGGCACTACGAACTGTGGACTCTTAAAATGTCAGGGACTAAAAAAACAGGACGATGTTGAGGGATTATAGTAATAATACAAACAGTATTTATGGCAGATTGTTGGAATTTGAGCTGCAATGTAATCATAGCTATTTTATATAGTTTTTTATATAGCTATTTTATATATATTTTAATAGTCTCTACTTCAATGCCAATGTATTTCCTGAAAGTTTTAAAAAATGTAACATACTTCATATATGTCACCCTATAATGAAGCTGAGACTGACTCCTCAAAAAAAAAATCCCTGTTTCAATACTACTATTCAGGATAAGCATCCCTAATAGGAAAACCCAAACTCCAAAATGTCCTGAAATCTGGACAAATAAAATTCCTCATGAATTAGAACTAGACCGTGCTCAGTGCATGCCTGTGGTTCCAGCTAAGCAAGAGGTTGAAATGAGGACCATTGAGTCCGGGAAACAGAGACCCTGTCTCAAAAACAAAAAATATTTAAAAACATGAAAAATAATCTGCTAAATGCATGTGAGAAACAATTTACATGGTTCCCTACTAGTCACTGCTGCTTAATTCTTAGCCATCTAAAATTTATGTCATGCAAACAGGAAAACACGGTTAAGAATATGGTTAATGATTCTTCCTCTTTTTTGCTAAATAATCTGCTTTTTGTCCTGATTCTCAATGGATCTAGTTCAGGGTTTTCAATCCCAACGCCGACAATCCCCTTAGGATGCCTCTCCCTAGTAGAGCATCAGTCTGTGCATGGCTGGCTGTTACCACTGTGGGCCTGGGTCGGCACCCAGGTCCCCGCACACTGCCTCGAGGCAGGACCTCTGCATCTGCCTCGCGGTCTGGCTGGGCTGACGCCGCCCCCAGGAGTGCAGGAACAGATGAATGTGCCAAGGCGAACCACAGTACTCAAGCGCTTCTCTGCTCAGTGATTCTTCCCGTCAGCAGGGGCTCGCTCTAGACTTCTGCTGGAGGCCGCTACAAGGAAACTCTCATTTTTGCTGGTCCTCTAGCCACAACAACCGTATAAAGTATATGACAAGCACACCCTGTTGCCATTTTAACCTGTCTGAAAAGAATCAAAAGATGGAAAGATAGAGGATATCCGAAGAGTCCCTGAATCAAATTCTAACTGAAGCTGTATCAATATGGACTTCCAGTAAAGCAACCCAGTAAAATTCTGTTTTGCTTAAGCTAACTGAACTGGATTATTGTCATCTGCAAGCAAAAGGGCATCTGAAAATTTGGTCAACAAAATTTGAAGGTTAATCATCAACCAAATACTAATGCTAATTTCACTGAGCAACTGCATGCACCAGGACTGTGACGCTAAGGGCTACACATGCCGTGTGACAGCCACTCAATATAACTTTATAGAGGAAGAGAAAGTAACACATACGGGGTCGAATGTCTGGATTCAATTACCAGTCCTGTTAATACCATTCTGCACCTGATTATTAACTCAGGTGCAACTTTCTCAGTGCCTATGCGGCAAGAATCGACTCATTACTAGTAAGGCCACTAACACAGTGGACCTTGGAACCGGTGGGTTATGCATTTGTGGACTTAGCCAATTGCAGGCCCAAAATAGTCAGAAAAAATTTTTTCTTGTGATTTTTCTGTAAACAACAGTTACTGACTAGATCCAGAACATCTACACAGAATTAGGGTGAGCGGTGATCTGGACGTGACTTACAGCACACTGGAGGAGCTGCCCTAGGGTGCTGAAGAGACCTGAGCACCGGATGTGGAAGCCTGCCCTGGGCAGCGAGGTGGCCAGGAGGGCTGGCTCTACTTGGAAGGGAGTGTGAACAGCAGTTCGCACAAATTTAAGAAAATATTAATGAAGTGCAGCCAAGGAGATTCTGTAAACAAGACACCAGTTCAAAGGAGCAAGCTGAACTGTACCCGTAATAAACTGATAGCAGCTCGCATCAGGAGGGCTAAAGACCACTCATGAAGAGCAATCAAAGGAGAGAGAAAACATCTGTCCACAACCCTCCAGAATATTCAGGCGAGAGTTTTCCTGTGTGAGTGAAAAGGAGATTTTGATCTACCTGTCAAACAATTCCTACAATAAAAACACCTATGTGTTGTGGGCACTTTCAGTAAAAAGGGTATATTTATCAACCTTTTTTTTCCTTAAGAGTGGTTAATTAGCACTATTTTTTTTTTGACAAATTTTGTTTCTAACAGTGTAGTACGGTTCACATAATGGTTTCCCGAAGTCTTGACAAAAGTATGAATTTCTTTGAGTTTAAAATGGAGTAAAGGCCTCTCCTGTGGGACTCTCAAAGCAGTGTCACTCTTCTAAGGTCTTACACACACATCTGATGTTTTCAAATCAAGAAAGCTTCATACATCACATCCTCTCCTCAACAGGATTATATATCACTACTTTCTTAAGTCATGTGGAAACTGATAACACTATACCAGAATGAGCAGTATTTTTAAAATCAGAGACTGTGATCATTCACTGTGATATCTGACATTATACAATAAAAGTGAAATATATGGAGATCATTTAAACTACCTTTAACCATAACATTAACTTGAAATATTTCCTACCCATCTACTAAATACAAAACTTTTAGAGAAGATACTACCTTTCTTAGCTAAAACGGAAAAGAAATTCAATAAAAAAACTCAAATAAATGTTCAATTTTTAACTTCACTTATTTGCAAAGAGAATGAATATAATGGTGGACATGTGAGGTTATGTGTAGGTATGACACACTATTCTATTACCTGTAAGTAAAGCGTACTTAAATTTCAATTGCCAATGGATCATTTGTTTCTGCATGCAACTGAAATGTGTTCACAGCGCACATGCAGAGAAGTTTAATATAAAACAAAGTCACTGCCCTATGACACCGTCAATGTTTCTGTATAAGAATTAACTTAAAAAGCCAGCACACTAGCTGTTGAACACTTAAGTGGTGTGTGGAACGGTTCTGCCATTCAAAACTTATTGGGCTGTGGTATTCCCTCAACTGCCTCTGGCCTACTGCCTGGCCTGAGAGAAGGTACATATTTAGAACAGCAACGAAGTTTTTGGTGAGGGGCTCCACCCGCCAAAACAAGAACAAAAGCTCCCAACACCAAAGGGTCCTGCATATGCACAGCTGAAAAATGGAGAAGAACACTAAAGAGAAATTAGACATGCCTAGTTTGAAGAGCATCACACTGAGAATGAAAACATAGACAACATTCTTTCTGGAACCTACCTAACATGAGTAACCTGAAGCAGATTCTTTTTAAAATTCTTCAAGAATTTTTCAGTAATCAAAATACAAGTTAATTTAGGACATTTATATAAAATGACAAAAATCATGTAACATTTAACCACACAAGTGTGATTTGAAATTGTAAAGACACAAATTATACTTTTTTTTAGTAATACTAAGTTTTAAAAGCAAATAAGCCTTTTCTATCAGTTGTTTAGTATCCAGTTTGCTTTGTTTGTTTTTTGGTACCAGGGATCGAACTTGTGACTTGTACACTTGCAAGGGAGGCAGCAGAACCACTGGCCTCCGGCCTCCAATTTGTTTTTAAACCTATTACTGACATACAATAACTTGCTTTTAAAAACTGAATTATAGGTGCCTGTCTTGCAAGCGCAGGACCTGAGTTCAATCCCCGGTACCAAAAAATAAAATAAATAAATAAAAATAAAAAATAAATTATAGTACGGGTAGGGGAGAGGAAAGAAAGGAATGGAATTAATGAGAAAATGAAAAATAATGGAAACAAAATCTTGTAAAATATGGGGGTTGAAGGGGGGAAAGGGGAATGGAAAAAAAGAAGAAGAACCAAGATCAATTATTTAAAGGTACAAATTTGCAGCAATGAATGCCATTATATTGTTAAATGTACCAATAAAATTAATTTTTAAAAAGCTGTTATAAATTTGGACTCATAAATCCATCCTAAATGATGCCTTTTAAAATAGATTTTAATAATAAAATATTTTATATAAAATATGGTTATATTGCTTAAATAAACCCAGCAGTTTCTCTGGTATGAAAAACTGGAAGTATAAATTAAGATCAAAACGTATAATAGATAATGTGAAATAGGAAGAAAATGTCTAACTGGGAGGGCTAGGGGAAAAAAGAAGAGAAAGAAAAAAGCAGGAGAAAATGAAAAAATGGAAACAAAGTCTCTAAATAAGGAGGGGTGGAAGGGTTGAAGGGAGGGCAGGGGAATGGGGAAAAAATAAGAACAAGATGTATTATGTAAAGGTACAAATTCCCAATGATGAATGTCATCGTACTGTACACCTAAAATGTACCAATACATTTAATAAATTAAACATAAATAAAAATACTTATGTAGACTTTAAAAAACAAAACAACTAAATTTTAAGGGGCTGAGGATTTAGCTCAGTGGTGCTGTGCCTGCCTCACAAATGCAAGGTCCTGAGTTTGATCCCTGGTACCAACCGCCACCTCAAAAACAAAAACCCCACTAAATTATAAAAGGTAGAAAAGGGCAAAGTTTAGAGCTTTTAGAATATGGAAAAAAAATTTTAAAAGAAATGGTTGGGATGTTTCAAATCACTTAAAAGCAAAAAGCATTTTTCTTTTGTAGTCTTTTATAGAGAAAAGTGAAAAAAGTTAACATAGGTCTTTTTTTTTTTGGTACCAGGGATCGAACTCTGGTCCTTGTGCTTTCAAGGCAGGTGGCAGACCACTAAGCTAAATCCCCAGTCCCAGTAAATACAGAAGACATGGTTCTCTTTCATTAATGAAAGGGGTTATTCACTAGACTGTCACGTTCTTAACACACTTCATGCATAAAGTAACAGCTATCACCTCTGAAAACCTAAGTCCAGCAACTGTAACTGCACTACTGACTCACCTTTTTCATTTTCTTTGTACCTACACATTCCAACTGGGATCTCTGCTTGAAACATGGAGCCCACCATAATCTCCTGTTTTAAAAATAAGAAAAGAAATAATAAGACCTAGTAACATTTTATATTCATTTTCTAGATTAACCACCTTCTTGGATAAACTCTAGTTTTCTGTCATAAAGTAGACACAAACAACTACCTCAGAGATGAATGGATGTGACCAGATGAAAATATTCCTAACAAAATGGTGTGAAAGGTAACACGGACAATGAACACCAACTTTACTTCAAGGCATGGACTCTGATCACTCAATAAAATAATCACAAAACAGTCTGACAACCTGAAAGTCAAATCCAGGTATCTGGACAGCATCTACATGGAAGACACTGGTCTCTGCACTGCAGCAGGAACAGCAGTGTCACCTGGAAAGTGCCCAGACTCAATGCATCAGAAACTCGGGAGGGGGTTGAGTCTGGGAAGCAGAGCTTCATTCAGGGTAAGAGAATAATGCAAGTGTTTGCAAAAAGCTCAGTGGGGACCAAATAGGCAGCTTAGTGCTTGACTTTCACTGAACCCACAGAAAATAGAAAGTGCCCGCATAAAAACACCATTAAATTTTACTACAGGAAATGTGATGATCAAAGCTATAGACTCCAATCAGAGTAAGTGAAGCTGGCTGTTCAGAAAGCCAACTGTAGGTTGCTAGCAATGAGGTTTCAGAGAGCACAGGGATGAAGAGTACACAGGAATCAGGATTTGCAGGATTCTGAAGTGCAGTGTCCCCCGCCTGTTATTGTTACCCTAATGACAAAGGATCTCATTTTACCGATTACAACTTCAAAGACACGCTCTGTGTAAATAACTTATTACTGGGCTTGCAGAGGAAAATCAGCCTTTCTCACGATCAGTTTTCGAAACAGTTTCATACACAGTAAACTGCCTCCACAAACAGAATTTCTCCTTGTCTTCCACTCTAGAGTCCTCTACTGTCACTCCCTATGCCTCTTTTAACTTTGTTCACTTGTGCCTATCAAAGAGTAGTCAAGTCATCAACCCTGGTGGGGATGCTTATGAGTATCAGTGGCTGAACTTGCTCAGACCAATGACATTACCGTGTGTGGACAAGGCCTTGCAGCCAGGATTTAAAAGGTCTCTCAGTAACTCTTAACAGGGAGTCAGATCTTACAAGTTCTAACTACTTTAAAGGTGTGGTCCTTTTTCTACTGAGTTCCGAGTACTTCTTTTCACCTGCCAATTCCTTCTTCAGTGGACGTAAGGGAAGGGAAACAGCATTTAAGATTATGTATTCTCTCGAATATAATTTTCATGTATTCTTCACCAAACCCAAAATGCTGACATCGTTACTCCCGAAATGTATGTGAAAAAGTGAAGCTCAGTAGCATTTTCTCAGGCACATACAATTAGTAAGTTTTATGACTACTATTTAACCCAGGTTTCCTCTAGCTTAGTTTCTATAAAAATCCAATTTTATCTTGTATACTTTCAAAAATTGAACCTCAAATCTTGATAATTATTTATCCAACAAAATCACACTGAATGAAAACAATCTGGATTTACTGAATCATGCTCTCTTATACAGTTTTTCCTGAGAAAGGACTAATATCACCTCCAGCAATAAAGGCTGCCTGCATCTCTATGTTAAACTCCTCCAAGCTTTTGTTCTTCATTAAAAAAAAAAAAAAAGTACTAGACGTTCCAAATGGGAAAGCAACTTATGCATGTTGGAGAAAAGGATTTGTAAACTCGAATCTGTGGTGTACAGCAATTTGATAGGACTCCAAAGGCCTGACTTCCCTCTTACTTTCTTCATGGTATAGGAATCTGATTAAAAAATGGACTGAAAAATACTTGCCCAAATAGGTCCCACCAATAGGAGGGAACTTCTCTGCAACCTCATTTGTTGTCTTCAGTCCCATCCCTCAAATTGATTAAAACACTGCACATGGGGCTCACTGTCCACACAGTTCTGGCCACAGTGATGTCGCTCCCTCTCTCTAATGCCTACATCTTTCTGTTGGTCTCATTCAATCTAACACTAATAATGCATTTACTTAGGTTATCTAACTTCTTTTTGGCAACGGGGATCAAACTCAGGACCTTGTATTTGCAAGGCAGGCGTAGTGCCACTGAGCTACATCCCCGGCCCTTATTTAACTTCTTTAAAGCGATGTCCACTCATACAGCAAAAACATAACGAACTACTAGACAGTGGGGGAGGGAGGGGGGCAGGACACAGGATGGGACGGGGATGGACTCTTGTGACTTAATAGCTACACATCACCTGACTTGGTCTTTCTGAGTAAGAAAACAGTGTTTCTCCAGCTCTTCAGGTCCCAGTCACTAAGTATTAAAAGGCATCTGGCCTCTCTAAGTGACACAATGAATGTCCAGGAAGCCCAATTCTACAGGAAACCTGGGATTTTTAGGTGACCCAATTCTAAGTACATTTGAATTATTTAATTCTTCCCAACCGAAATTCTATATATCAGCTGTTCTCTTACTCAGCAAGAGGTGAACTCTTTTTTAAGTCTGCCCCATGCATTCTAAACCAGACTGTATCCATCTTAAAGCACACACACAAACTTCCACCAAAACCCGAAGGACCAACAGAATTAACTGATTTAACCCTAACTTGTTAAAAAGTACGAAAGCCCACTAAATTTGAGCTTCTGTCCTATTTTGCTTTCAAACTAATGATAAAATTACAAAATAAATTTATAAAACAGATCCAGGGAGAGGCTATTTTTTTTTAAAGAGGATGGATTATCAACTGTCTCTCAAAAGGAATAGTGTCAGTTCTTCTGTAGAAATGGTTTAACCAAGTCTGCACACATTCTGACGTATTTTCCTAAGTGGCCAACACCTTTACAACTTAAAATCAATTTTTTAACTATCTGCTTAATTATGTAAGGCTGTTTAATTTTAGAGATAAAAGCTAATGTAATTGCATATACTTGTAAAGAAGCCCAATCTGTCTCTTTAAACAAAGACTGGTCAGATACAACTATCAACATTAAATTCAATATTCTGAGTTTTCCCTTTATAAAGTAATATGGAATGGAAAATGTGCAATCTAAACTACCAAATTTACTTAAGACATCATACTATTTATATATTAAAAAGCCAAATGTGACACTTTAGATAGAGCAACAAAAGTAATTTAGCATTAGTTTAGGACCAGTTCAGAAGCTTGGGTGTTTACTGTTGGTCTGGGTACTAGACTCACTTAGCAAAGTCTAGTACTTTCCATTTCGTCATTTTTTTTTTTTTGATAAGGAGATAAAACACACCTCTTATTTGGATGTACTTAAGGGGAAATACAAACATTTAGCAAATGCTTAAATGTCACAAAAAGACTTACATATCAACCTTATCAATACATGTAAGAATAAACATGCTTGTTTTTTAAAAATATTAATTTACCTAAGTTTTGGAGAAATAAGGTTCTAACTACCTTTTTCCAGTCTTCTGATGGAATATAATCTTCATCTTCTTCAGATTCTTCTTCTATTTCACTATCTAAAATAAATAAGATTATAAAATGATTGCTTATTCTGCCCGTATCTTTATCATTGTATTTTTTCACATTTATCATCAAATAGTTATATATGCTGAACAACATTTGCTGACTTAGGCAAAGACATTTTAAATCCAATAATCAATACTCTATCACTTAAAAAAAGCCAAAACAAGAAGTAAAAAAAAAAAAAAAAAAAT